AGAACTACGTGATCAAGTTATAAAATAAGGGGGCTGGAGAGGTGGTTCAGCAGTTAAGAGCACTGGCTGTTCTTGTAGAAGACCCAGGTTCGAATTCCGACACCCACATAGCGGCTAACAACTGTCCATAATTCCAGTTCCAGAGGATCCAATGCCATCTTCTGACCTCTATATGACACAAGTGCACTTACATGTATACAAGCAAGTCACTCATACACATAAAATTAAAACAATAAATAAGTTGGACATGGTGGCACATGCCTTTAATCCCAGCACTTTGGGAGGCAGAATCAGGCAAATCTCTGTGACTTTGAGGCCAGCCTGGTCTACATAGCAAGTTCCAGGCCAGCTGGGGCTACAGGGAGACCCTGTCTCAAAAGGACCAAAAAAAAAATTAAAATAATAAAAAATTTTTTGAGGTATAAAATAAAACAAATAGGGCTGGTAAGATGGCTGTGGGTAAAGCATCTGCTATGCAAAACTGATGACCTGAGTTCAATGCTTGGAACAATGGAAGGAAAGAACCAATTCCCTAAAATTGTCCTCTAACCTCCACATAAGTACCCACTCACACGCACTGTCCTAGTTCCATTTCCTGTTGCTGTGATAAAATATTGTGACAAAAGTAACTTGAAGGGAGAAAGGAATTTATTGGACTTGCAATTCTAGGTCACAGTCTATCAACTATGGGAAAGTCAAGGCAGGAACTTGAAACAGCTAGTAACATCCATAGTCAACAGCTTACTTGTGCTCAGCACCCTCTCCACACTTACATGGTCTAGTATCCCCTGCCCAGGGAATGGTGCCATCTGAAGTGGACAGCTCTTCCCGCCTCAATTAATGTAATCAAGATAATCCCTCATAGACATATCTACTTGCCAACCTGATCTAGACAATCCCTCATTCAGACTCTTCCCAGATGATAATAGATTGTGTCAAGCTGACAATGAAAAATAACCATCACACATGCACACAGATACACACACACTAATAAAAAAGTCATGTTTTAAGTAAGTTTATGATTTTGTGTTGTGCTGCATTTATAGCTATCTTGGGTCACATGTGGCCTCTGGACCACCTGTTGGACACACCTGTATGTGAACATGTAAACAGCAAGAATGCTTTTCTAAGGAAAAGTCATTTCTTGTCCATCCTGTTAATTCACAGGAAAACTTCTAATGTTATTAGCAGAAAAAGAAATCATTAAAAGTAAATTATACCACAGCACAGCTGATCAGGTAGCTGTCAGAAATTGGCATGGAACTTCACAGATACCAAGAGTGGAAAGGCTCCATGATATAGGAACATGCATGCATTTATGAATGCATGAAAAAGTCCTGAAAGACAATTCAATAAATTGTCAGATATCAGAGTGGTATCCTCTGATAAGAAACATGATAGGAGTGGGTGGTGGTATTAGGGCCCACAAAGAGGAAAGTACTTTGTATGATGAACATTTGTATTATAAAATAACTAAGCAAAAACAATAGATCTTTGTGCTATTTATACAATCAGTTTAAAAAAATTTTTTTTTTTGGTTTTTTGAGACAGGGTCTCCCTGTAGCCTCAGCTGGCCTGAAACTCACTATGTAGACCAGGCTGGCATCGAACTCACAGAGATTTGCCTGCCTCTGCCTCTTGAGTGCTAGGATTAAAGACATGCACCACCAGGCCTGGACTATGCAATCAGTTTTTTTAAAAGGTATAGTAAGGAACATGGCATTTAAGAGTTAGAGTACAAAAACCAAAGAGATTTAGCAGCAAAGATTCAAAAACAAAATCCAGCAAGGTTCATCAGGAGCTTTCTAGCACGTTGATTTTATGGACATCCTATCCTCTAAAACCATGTTATAAACCCTAAAAAGTTTAGGTCACCTCTTCTGTTTGTACATGTATTTGCTGTTTTTACACTGCCAATTAACAACAAAGCTTCTGATCTCAAATGAAAAGTTAATGTAAAAAAATCCAACCTCAAAACTAGGGTGGTAGGGAATGCCTGTAATGCATGAGGAGGTAGAAGCAAGAGGACCAGGAGTTCCATGTCATTCCTGGCTACATAGCAAGTCTGGGGCCACCCTGGGCTACATGAGACTCTGCCTCAAGAAAGCAAACATTGAGCACAGTCATGATTTCTAAAATAGAAAAATACTACCATAACTCACTCTTTCAGGATCATACATTTCATACACTTTTGGTACATGCATCACAAAGTTAAAACTAGGATTTGAGTGTGGTGGCACACTTATAAATCCCAGCATCCTGGAGGCTAAGCTAAGATGAGCACTTCAAGTTCAAGGCTAGCACCGGCTCAGTTTTAAGACCATGTCTCAAAAGAAAAGAAAAAGATGCTAAGGAAGCAGAGCTCAGTCACTGTAACTACTTAGTGTTGAGCTGAGTTCAAGTGCCGTCCTGGTAATTAAAATGAGAGGTCTTTTAAAAACTGAGAAGTCAGGAGAGTTCTGATATTCAAGTACATTACAGGAAGCAGTATTATATTGACTCTGCAGAGCAACAAGGACATATTTTCATTCATAATTAGAGTATTCCTTTTGCTCTACATGTGAGTTCTAAAGTACAAGAAAACCACATAAAACTCAAAGTTCAATGGAAATACTTTAAGACACTTTCAAATTTCAATAAAGTACGTAGCAGTCATGTCTTTGCTAGTATGTCTTCAGCGACCAGTCTTTAAAAGCAGAAGTGAGGAGCCATGCGTTCTCAGCTATTTTTCTGAGCCTTTATACAAACTTGATGAACTGCTTCAGATATAAAGGCTATGAGGAAATTCTAAGATGCTTAAGTGCTAACAATTCACCCCACAGAATTGCTAGTATCACACAGTCACAGTAAAAGATCATACTCATGACACTAGCTTTCAATCTCCCATACCATGGTGGCAGTGGCTTGCCTGTCACATGCATGGGTTCAAGCCCCAGTAACTTAAATCTTCCTTTCTTGTTCTTGATCATACTTAGCTCCCAGTTTCTAATAATGCTTAAAAATAAACAGGGTCAATCGTTACAGAGCAGAAAGAATCAAATAAATTAAGTGGAATTCATGTAATCCCTACAATTGACACTGGCCAACATCTGAAAATTTTTTTCTACATTAAATCTTATACAACTATTACACAAACTCATAGACGTGTCTCCATTCTACATTGATCTAGTTATAATAAGCAGAGTACATGGAAATAGAAATGTTGAAGGAAGAAAAAAGAAGCTGTGCTTAAAAAAAGATGAGGAAATGGGCAGGATGCTCCAGCTTTAGCTGAAAAACTATTGGTAGTTGATCACTTCTGGGTGAGGGAGAATTGGTCTTCTTTAAGGGAGTGATACTAGATAGACTGAACAGGCTACAGTGGATGGACTTACACCAAGGGACATCTGGTGACACCAACTTGACCTGATAGGCCTTAACATATGATAGAATGCATTCAGTGGGGGGCCATGAAGAGGGTGCAGATGGGGGGGTCTAAGTATGATTAAGATGTAGTGTATGAAATGCACAAAAACCCAATAAAATTTATACATTGAAAAAAAGCAAAAAGCCTATTCTTTAGAAAATAAAATGTGTTCAGAATGGTCTATATTCTTATCTCTACACCCTCTGCTATACAAAAGGACTCATTCCTGCTGGGAATTAGACAGTCCTAACTGGAGATTAGTGTACACAAATCAAACTGTTGTTTTTCTAAGACTCAGCCAATGGCCAGCCAGTCTTTGACCATTTTCCAGGTAAGAAGTAAAGAGAGGTTAACACTGGACTACCACTAGCTGAATCCAGTGGTTCTTTACTGGGTAGCTCAGTTTTGGACCTTTGTTGTTTGATTAAAGAGCACCGTCATGGAAGGGTCAAGAAATCTGGGTCAAGACCATTCCTTCTCTTAAACTGTTACTGAAAACAATCGTGTAATTCTTTTGATCTTCGGCTTCCTCATCTGAAAAGGGGACACTACACATTAAGCTCACAGACAAGTGATAACCATGATAATCACGGTACCTGTACATGGGAAACATTCAACAAATGCTTATCTTTTCTAACGAGTTGAATGGGGAGGTAGAAAACGCCAAGTCAGAGTTTCTTGGCAGCGCAGAGCTGCTTCAAGATTTTGCATTAGTGCGTTTTAAAAATAGGGAGGGGAGCCTCACTCAGGCAACTTTCCCTGCCTTTTCTAACTCCTTCCTAAGGTGTAAGGTATTTGACATTTACAGCATACTTAGAATCGCCAACCACATCTTCATACCGTAAGGTCCTGTCTTTTTAAACCAGGCTTGACACTCTTCCAAGAGTCCTCATATTACCCACTCTGGAGGCCGGCTCTGCCAGAAGCAATAAACGTTTGTTGACTAATACAACACTGACTGGGGCTCGCTGCATTTAGGGGGCTTAGTGTGACAGTGGCTTAAAGGCGTGAAAGCCTCTTCCAGACAAAAGACACGACACTGGGAGGTGCCCTTCCCCAAGCCACACTTTTCCCTTCCAGTCCCCACGCCCACCTTTCCACCGCTTCTGTTCTCGCTGCAGGAGGCTGCTCTCATTTATGGGTTTGGGGAACGCTTACGGAAAAAAAAAATTACTCAGCTGGGCTGAGGCCGCGGGGCAGCCACACCTACTTGGAGCCCGCGGAGGCGCGTCAGGCGGGAGACCGGTTCTGGGCGCCCTCTCCACGGATCCTCCAGGGAATGGCGCCGGTGTGCCGCCCGGAGCGGCCGGGCGCCCTCAGGGAGGCCCGGGGCGGCTCGACGCCTCGGTCCCAGCACGTGGGAGGCGGAGAGTGCGAGCGCCCGGCCCAGAGGCAGCCAAGAGGCCAGGCGGGAGCCCGCGGCCTGGACCACCCGGGGGTGGATACTCTGCGGGGCCGCGGTCGCCCCGCTTCCCCCCCCCCGCGCGCCCGCACCCGACCTCCTGAGGCCGCTCGGGTTCCCATGCCCTACAGAGGCGCGGCTGCGCAGGGCCGGGCGCCACGTCCCGGTTCCCGTTCCTGTCCCTGCACTCACGGTGCTTGCCGCCGCCGCCGCCGCCGCCGCTGGGGTAGCTCAGCAGCAGGAAGGGCAGTGGGGAGCCCGGCGATGGCGGGGTCCTCCAGGCGCGCTGCGGCGGCGGGCGTGCAGAGAAGCCCGCTCCTCCATCGCCCGGGTACAGCAGGAAGAAGGGGGCGGCCACTGGAGAGTCCGGCTCCGAGGGCCCCGCCTCGCCCTCTCGGTCCGCACCCCCGGCGGGAGCTCCGCGGGGCTCCTCGGGCTCCTCCGGCCGCGGCTCCCCGCCCCGCGCCCGGTCCTCGCCGGAACTTTCAGCGGCCGTGCTGGGCGGCGAGGGCTCAGCCATGCTCGCTCCTGGCTTCGCAGCGCCTCGGCCTCGCCGGGCCCAGCCGAGGAGTCAAGGGTCACGGCGAGGATCCGCCGCCCCGTCGCGCCTCTGCTGCCACCGTTCTCCGTGGCCGGGCCGGCGCCTGGGCTCCGCGCTCTACCCGCCCCGCCGGGGCCCGTTCAGCCGAGGACCGCCCCGCCCGACGGCTCGGCCTGCTCAGCGCCGCCTCCGGCGACCGCCCCTCTCGACCGGCCCCGGTGAGCCTCGGCGCCCCTAGGGGGCAGCGTGCGCCTGCCGGCTCCCCATCTTCCTCTACCGACCCCGAGGGGCAGATTGAGCTGGCCGGGTCCTCAGCCGCCCCTGGCTCAACCCTGTGGCCAGCAGCTGCTTGACGGGTGGGAGGCCTGGTCACACTTCTACCGGCGTTTATGCTGTAACCGCCAACTTCGATAGCAGTGAGGCACAAAGCTCCGACTTGAAGAAGCCAATGCTAATTTTTAAGGAGGTAACTGTCTCTGCCCTGCTGGTCCAAGTATTAAACTGTACTATCGCCATTCACTTCAGCTCTTGATTCACGATTTTGATTCAGGAATTCTCTATAAAACAACGGGAGGATAGTCTTTCCACTTTTTGTTCCTTTTCATGTGCGCTCTTTAGAAATCGTGTATTTGCTTTTGCTTTATGCCTCAATTTTCCAGTGCTCCAGATGTGCATGGGTTCGTTTTGTCAACTAGTTTACAATTTATATGACATTTTGCACTTTTTTTAGCGTGAACGAAAGTTGGGGGCGGGACACAACAAAAAAACCAACCCTGCATCTTCAATCTCCTTGAATCTCCTGAACCCTCGAATCTCCTGAAAGGCTGATTAACTGATCAGAACTTCCATGATTATAGTTTGGAATGTTGCAGGTCCAGATCCTAATTATAATTTATCTGGCGGATAGCTTTAGCCCCTTAAATAGCTATTCCTTGCACAACTGTGTTGGGCCTAACATCCTGTGACTAATAGATAAAAGCTTATGAGGATAAATTAAATTAACACAATCTTAGTTTCCACCAATCAGAAGGCTAAGGGTATCATCAGACATCATCTGAGGCCTATAGTTGAGACTTCTCAGTTTTGGTGTTTGCCCACTTGTTTCCACCAATGTATTTGAGAAGTGCCTTGATTTATGACCTTCTTTGCTCTGTTACTATAAAAAAAAATCTATGAAACTGTTACCATATTGGAACATAGAATTTGAAGTGACTTAAATCTGTGTTCCTGGGCCATGTCACTCATAGTTGGCTCCTGAATAAACTACCTCTTAGGTCCTTTGAGGTGAGAGTTGTGTTTTTGATCAACAGTAGTGTCTGTTTTGTTAGTAATCGGCCACTGTTATTTCATATACTTAAATCAGTGATTACCGATTAAGCATGCGATCAAAGTAAACATTTCCCAAAGAAAAACAATCCCTAGTTATTATCACTATGGGTTTTTTGTTTATTTCTTTGAGTCCAGGGAGGTGGGTAATCTTACATGAAGCCCAGGCTTGCTTGAACTCATGATCCTCCTGCCTCCACTTCCAGATGGCTGGGATTTGCAGATAAGAGCCCCAGGACCCTCTTCTATCACTATTCTTTATCATGGATTTCTAGCTGATTAGTTTTGTGTTCAAGTTGCAAAATGCTGACATAGAACTCATGCTAGTCAGTTAAAAACCACTTCCCTGTAACATTTTGCATACTTACTCTGTGTCTTTTGTCAGATCTCTCCCTCTGTAGAAGTTAAACTTTACATAAATGAAAAGTAAACCTTATTTTCTGCAAATCACTCTTGAATTACCACTAGCTATTATCACAAGACCTCTAATTCTATCCTTCATGCATTTAAAACAAGAACATTAAAAAAGGAAATGTTTACAAGATGCTAACTTCAAGTAACCTTAGAAAATTTACTAGTAGCTTTAAGTATCTGGCAGTTCCCCAACCTGTTGATTCCATAAATTTGTCCTCTTCTGTAAAATTATTTCTTACTCAGAAAGATATTAACAAATGTAAGTAGGGGGTTGGAGAGATGGCTCAGAGGTTAAGAACACAGGCTGTTCTTGCAGAGGACCTAGGTTTGGTTCCCAGGACACACATGGCAGCCAACAATAGTCTGTAATTACAGTTCCAGGGGATCTGACATCTTCTTCTGGCCTCTGCTGGCATTGCATGCATGAGCGCACTAACATACATGTAGGCAAGATACTCATACATGTAAAAATAAATCTTAAGGCCAGGTGTGGTGGCACACGCCTTTAATCCCAGCACTGGGGAGTCAGAGGCAGGTGGATCTCTGTGAGTTCAAGGCCAGCCTGGTCATCTACATAGTGAGTTCTGGGCCAGCTGGGGCTACAGGGAAAAGACAAAAAATAAAATAACACAGGCAATACATGCATAGTTGTTATTTGAGACGGGGTCTCCCTGTATGTAGCCCCAGCTGGCCTGTAACTTACTGTATAGACCAGGCTGGCCTTGATCTCAGAGATCCACCTGCCTCTGCCTCCCTTGTGCTAGCTGGGGATTTTTTGTTTTTTTCTTTTTCTCTGACACAGGGTTGCCCTCAAGCTCATTATTCTTTTCCAGCCTGGCCCTCTGTAGGCTGAGATTACAAACATGTGCCAGCATAACCCAGTTCCTTTTAACCACATGGTGAGGGTGAGGATCTTGATAAAAAGACATTTTCTTATTAGGAATTGCAGACTGTATTAAAGAGAAAAAGTATACCTGGGCTTTATTTGGGCCTTTTACCTTGCTTTTTTTCATGCAGAAACTTAAGAATCCCATTCTCAGGTTCCATAACCAAGATGTTTTGACATGCTTTAGTAGAGAATTTGGGCCAGACATGACATCACATACCTGTAATCTCAGTGCTGAGGAGGCTGAAATGGATGATGAGTTTGAGGCCAGTTTTGGCTACACAGGAGCTCCCGTCATAAGCAAACAAATAAGCATGACTCTATAGGTAGAAGAGCAGAACTTCACCAATCATTGTTAAGAGAGCCAGTAATCATCCAGGGGAGTCATGAAATTATGGTATGGTATGCCAGTTTTCTTCTTGTTAAGCCAAGATACTTGTAAGTATAGAAACTGACATGGTGTGGAATCCTGTAGCATATTGGTTTTCTCTGCTTTTAAAAGGGGCTCTATGTTTTACTACCATTAATTAAATGACAGCATAATGAATACAAAAATTCAGCTGACATTTGAGTCTTTTAAAATTTATAGGCACGGCTATTTATGAACTTTTCCCTTAAAGGTGGATGGTACTCCAAGTCCTCAGTTTCATATGCTTTTAGGTTTTGGATCAATAATACAATCACAGCTATGCATTACCATTAGTGATGTACATAATGGGCTGATTCAGATGCTATACTTGATTAAGGAAGCCAAGATTATAAAAACAAGCATAAACATGTTCCTTTTTGAAAATGTACAGGGCATTTTCTTGTATGTTTTTAAAAAGTGACAGGATCCAGTTTACTATAATTAAGAATCCAGCTCTGTTAGTTTTCTCGTGAAATAAAGCAGAAGGTACCTTTCAACTTCAGTTATCTAGACTTGGATTTCAAATGTACTCTGGTGATCTTCTGGACAGATATTAAGGATACAGTATATTAGAGACTTTTAGAGATTAATGTTATGGATGATAATATATTTTTAGTATAAGCTTCTTACTGATGTCAATCAGAAGAGCAATCACTGGAGAAGAGATGATGATCTTTTGCAGTATAGTACATAGATTTGAATTTTTTTTTCCTTTGAGACAGTCTCACTATGTAGCCCTGGGTGGCCTGGACCTCACTATCAAACTTGTAATCCTCCTGCCTCTGTCTCAAAGTGCTGGGATTATAGATTTGCCCACACCCTGTTGCTATATTATTTTCATAATAGAAAATAGAACACACTGATTTGTTATTTTAAGTTTGGTAATCATGTCTTTCTTTTATGAAAATCCCACTATTAACAGCAAAAGTGTCTTCCTTGGGTATTCTGTGAGAATAGAATCTGCAGAAATCAGAGCCCTGCTCCATATGACCTTTCCATATTGTGTCTAGTGTTTGGTATTGTTTTTTGTTTGCTTTGCTTTTTTGTTATAGGATTTCACTCTCTCTAGCCAGACTGGATTGGAACTATGTTCCCAGAGCCTTTCTCAGTCCCCAGAGTGGGGTTTTAGTATGTAATATCTTAATGTTCCAGAGGCTGCCGGGTGGTTTTAACTTCATCTCCTTTGTCTTAATTCTCTATCTACATTCTTTTCTGAATTTCTCTCAAATCTTTTAATCTGTTCTTTGCTTTAATTTAAATCTTGCTAGTATTATTGCAAAGGACTCATGGCTATTTTCCCTGCCTCTAGCTTTAATTCATTCCAGTTCTCTTGCTCTATAGTGCTACTTACTCTTCTTTTAACTAGGTCATAATATTTCTTAAAACCTTTAGTTGGCTTCTCCATCTGGAATATAATCTAAGCTCCTTAGAAACTCAGTCAAGAGTGTGTGTTTGTGTGTGAGATTTAACCTTTCCTTACATTCCCAATGTCATCTTCCTATCTTGCTTCACGTTCTGTTGCTTTCGATCTAACTTTTAATATGCTTGGCCTTCCTCATATTGCCATCTCCACTACTCCCAACTTCCCCCAATGCTTTGCTCCAACAGATCTGACTTCTTTTCTCCCCCCCGCCCCGAAAGGTTTGACCTTTTGTGAGGCCCAACAAAATCCTTATAAGCAGCTGATTGCTTTGTCACGTTTGCTCCCAGAGGCGACATCTTTGGGTTTTTCCATTTTGTGATGCACAAAGACTTCTCTAAGTAGTTCCAGACTCCCTTCCTTCTTTCTAAAAGCCTACCAAAATCCCTTAGTTCTCTCTGTGACCATCAGGACCTGTGAAGTGGCTCAGGAAAATCTGCATTGAAGTTTAAGTAGTAATTTTCTTGACTTTTATTCCCACTTTAAAGGTAAATTCAGCATGATGTAAATAAAAATGTGTCTACAAGAGATCACTTAATTAAAAAATTCTAGGTACTAATATTAATAAATTTCTATTATTTGCTTTGAACAATCCCCTCACGTACCCAAGGTAAAATGATCTTATCTACCCAGACCAAGGAAAGCAATACCAAAGGGTAAAAGGAAAATTCCTATAGTCCAGTCTGACATAGAAATCATGACAATCCTCTTGCCTGTCTCTCCAGTTCTGGGATTACAGACATATGCCACTGCGCCCAGCCTGGAATGTTTTCTGGTTGCTTTCTTACAGTGCTGGAATAAAAGGACCTTAAAGCACTCTACTCTTGAGCTACATTCCCAGTCTCCTTACAATAGTTTTCTTGCTGAACGCCATGGAACTAAACCACCAACAGAGTATAAAATGGTGTGATTAGTTCTATCCTATGGTTCTAGAGGAATGAAGTCCATGATTTCAAATATTCTCCAGGACTACCCTTGAGGTTTTCTAGTTTCATGGTAGTACATCATTGCCTTATTATTATTATTATTATTATTTTCTGAGACATAGTCTCCCTGTAGACACGAGTTTGAGGCTAATGTGGGCTACATGAGACCCTGTCTCAAGTCACCCCCTCCCCCAATCCTGTCCCCAAATGAAACCTTATGGTAGAACAGAGAAATGAATTCATTCGATTTTTTTTTTTTTTCCCGGTCTTTTTGAGACAGGGTCTCCCTGTAGCCCCAGTTGTCCTGGATTCACTATGGAGACCAGGCTGGCCTCAGACTCAGAGATCCACCTGCCTCTGCCTCCCAAGTGCTGGGATTAAAGGTGTGTGCCACCATGCCCGGCTTCAAATAGTTTTTTAAAATATATTTTTATCTTATGTGTTAGTGTATTGTCTGCATGTATGTAAGTGGACCCATGTCATGAAATGCCCATGGAGGTCAGAAGAGGGCGTTGGATCAGTTGGAACTGGAGTTACAGTTATTAGCCACCATGTCTTCTGCAAGAAGTGCTTTCAACTGCTGAGCTGTCTCTCCACCCTCCCCCCTTCCTTTTAAAAAATAGGTTAAATGTAAGCACTACAGGCCATCGAACTACTTAAAAGGCTGTAACAGTAACCTATTATTCAATGTAAGGGAGGAAGATGTTGAGTAGACCTGACGCATACATGCTTAAAGGTAAGATTGTAAAGTTCAGTACCATCTAACCCTAAAGGCCAAGCTCCTAAGTGTGTACATGTACATAAGGCCAAGCTCCTATGTATGGATGTGTATATAAGTATAATCTGAGACATGTAGACAATTCTCTCAAAATTTTTGTTGTCTTGGGGAAGACAGTGTCTCATGTAGGGTATTAATCTCTCGACAATCCCAGCACTTACAGGGCAACTACTATGCAATTTACTGTTCTAAGTGTTTTACACATATTAGTTCACTTATTCTTAATAGTCCTACAAAGGTTTAACTCTGTTCCACATTTTTGAGATAGGTTTCTAGCCCAGGCTGGTCTTGAACTGCTTATGTATCCTTGTACTTCTGACCCTCCCACCTCTATCCCAAGTGCTGGAGTTACAGGCATGCCCCATCATGCCCACTTTGTAAAGTAGAAGGGATTGAGCCCAGGGCCTCTTGCAGGCCAGGCAAGTACTATATAGTAACTGAACTATATCCCATTCCCTGTTATCCAGGTTCCCTGCCCCCCTACTTTGGTCTTTCTGAGACAGGGTCTCCCTGCAGCCCCAGCTGGACTGCAACTAGCTATGCCTCTGCTTCCTCTGCTGGGATTAAAGGTGTATGCCATCAAGCCTGGCTCTATTTTCCAGGTTTTACAAAAAACAGAAACAAGCACTGAAACTGAATAATTTGTGCAGAGTCATAGCTACTAAATAAGAACTGGGTTTGGAACTTAAGTGGTCTAACTACAGTCTGCTCTTTATTGTTGCTCCTCCCCCTGCCCCCGCCCCCCATACAGTTTCTCCAAGGTGAACTCCCGATCAATTAATTCAAAATCACCCAGGTAAGTACAAAAGTTGTGCTTTTCTACTTTATCAGAAAAGGAAGTATGGGGTTAAGCTCTGAAAGCCAGAGGCTATGTTGAAATCCTGTCTCTAGTGCCTAAAATCTGTGACCTTGAGGACATTTAACTTTGCCTTTTTCTTACCTTCACAAAGTGGTAATAGGGGCAGTGAGATAGCTTGGTGGTTAAGGTGCTTATCACAAGCCTGATGGATAACCTGAGTTCAATCTGTGAACCCACATGATTGACTCCTGCAAGGCGTCCTGACCTACTGCAATGGCACACTTAGGTGGATAACAGAATTTACAGGTTGTTGAAGAAAAAAGAAATAAGTACAAATAAGGTACAAGAACAGTTAAGTGCTCAATACTATTTCCAACCTGCTTTTTTTCTAAGTTATTTATATGTTTTGCCTACATGCAAGTGCACCTATGTTGTGCAAAGCATGTGGAGACCATAAGAGGGTGTTGGATCCCTTGGAGTTAGACAGTTGTTAGCTGCCACATGGGTGCTGAGAACCAAACCCTGGTCCTCTGCCAAAACAGCAAGTGCCATTAACTGGTGAGCCATCTCTCCAGCCCCTACCTTTTAAGGAAAAATAATTTGGAATGTGTACTATACTTGGGAAGTAGCTGTAAGTCAGAGGTTAAAATAATAAATGCTTAAAGTTAGGTTGATTTGGATTTAACCCAAACAGGTCTCCTTTAGCAGGTTTATCTTGCAAAATTTCAGCTTCTTTTGCCTGTATGTGTACATGCACACACATATGGAGGCCCAAGCTGGATGTCTGGTGTCTTCCTCTATCCCTTTCTGCCTTATTACCTTGACAAAGGACTCACTGAACTGGAAGCTTGCTGTTTGGGACTGGGTGGGGTGGCTGGCTAGTGAGCTACTGGGATCTACCTGTCTCCATCCCCCAATGCTGTGTTACAGGTACATAGAGCCATGTCCAGGTCTGTCTCCCCCCCCCCCCCCCCCCACCTGAAATGGCTGCTAGGGATGCAAACTGAAGTCTTCATGCTTGCACTAGGGCTCTTACCAACTGCACCATCTCCCCAGCCAAGAATTTCAGCCTGTCTGTGATACTAAGACAGCTATACCACCTCATAGTTACTGTAAGGATTAGCTGATATACAACTGTACATGGCAAGTTTAATCTTGTTTTAAAAATATTATATGTGTATGAGTGTTATGCCTGCATGTAGGTAAGTGCACCCGTGTCATATGCCAGCAGAGGACAGAAGAGGCTGTTGGATCCCCTGGAATTAGAGTTACAGTTGTTAGCTATCATGTGGGTGCTAGGATTTGAACCCAGGTCTTGTGCAAGAACAGTCAGTGTTCTTAAGCGCTGAGCCATCTCTCCAGCCCTGGCAAGTTTAATCTTAACAAATTTTCAGCAAACTGAGTATGAGCACAAACAGAAATCAGGGTAAACTACAGTAGAGGGGATATCGAATTTTTATCTTATTTACCACATAAAGGATCATGAGAAAATGCTTACAACTGGTATGTTATGTTGGTTTGGATTCAGATCCCAAGTAGGTCACCCTTAGCAAGTTAATCTTGCACAATTTCAGCTTCTTTTGCCTGTGGTATCTTTTCCTTTTTCCATGTTTAACCAAAGTTGTTCTCCATTCCTAGTTTGCTACAGAATGCAAGAAATACATGTTAACACTAAACTCACCAACTGGATGGACGCAGTGACCCACACCTTTATTTCCAGCTCTCGGAGATAGAGGCAGGGGGATCTCTGTGAGTTCCAGGCCAGCCAGCGTACATAGTGAGACCCTGTCTCAAAACAAAGAAACAAACAACCTCACCAATGTAGTATTGTGTCCAAGAATTACAACTGGGTAAATGAAATCTGTCAAACATTTTTTGCAAGGCTATCTTACAAAAAATATGTCTGCCAAAGGGGCATTCTTTTCATATGAAAAATTACATATATGTAAGTGTTCTAAGTTCCATTAATACTCCACAAATAGCTGGAAAATATCTCTAGGCTAACAGCCAAACTATTGGAGAGCTCTCACAAAACAAATGCCCCTCCCCTGTACCTTTACACTAGTCCCACAATTCTTAGTATGACTTTAATATAAAGGGCAAATAAAGCAGAAACCCAGGGCTCCCTATAGCTCAGTAGAGTGCTTGCCCCAGCACAGGCCCTAGATTCAATTCCTAGTACCCCGTTCAAAAAACCCCAACAAACAAAAAGCAAAGCAATACTGTTCCCCCCTCCAATTTCAATTGACAAATTGTAAACATAAAAATTAGGTATATAAATACAATCACAAATTTAAAATACTTTTATTGATCTAAAATAACTGTCAAAAACTAAGCTAAGCAGCAACTTTACTTCAGCTTAACACTCTTCTTAACTCCTGCACGAATGCCAGATAATTCACCACTGTATCGTTGCTCTTCTCTGCGGACTTCACGAACCTGACCTCTTCTTCGAATCTTAGCTCTTCTGAACTTCTCCCTATGTTTGACTCTGGGATTTCTATCAATCTTCTTTCTCCTGGGTGTAAGTCCCCTATTTTTTGCAATCTGATAGGTAATGGCTCTCTTTGCACTTTGATCTTCAAAAGCCTGTTCTTCTGCACTATTTTCTTCTTTCTTTCTCTTCAACTTTTGCCTTTCTAACAATTCCTTAGAGTATTTTAGTGCAGCGTCATCAAAATCAGGACCATCAGAAAGATCAGCAGCAGAAGTCTGTGAAACAGACTTTGGCTTTGTTTTGGTAAATTTTGATTTTAGATTCAGTTCTTTCTTCACAGAATCATCTTTAACTGTGAGTAGATGACGTATTTCAGAGGACAGTTTCTGATCCACAACCGACAGCTTGTTGATCAGATTTCTGTAGGTAACCAGCCTTTCTATGACTGGATGTCCACGTGCAGGGATTCTCCTAGCTTTCAAGATCAAATAAAAACTGATGTTGGCACAGTAGTTCAAGTACAGGTTATACTTAGTCTTCAGGTACTGGCTTCCTTTTCCAGATGGAATGATCCCTTTCTCCACCAGCTGTAATAATGGCTCTAGCTCGTCCTTCACTTCTGTCAACTTGACTTTCAGGTCTTCTATCAGTTCCAAGAGCTCTGGAGATTCCTTTCGCAACATTTTCAGCTTCTCTTTCACTGAAACTTTGGCCAAATCCTTCACGACCCTTGTCTCAGCCTTGTCTACCTGAGGCACCGGTTTAGCAAAGGCCTCCACCCAAGCGACTCCAAAATCATCCTCTTGTAGGGCTTGGGCCAGGCGACGCTGAATTAACTGCGCCTCCTCCTCTTCCTCTTTTTCCTCCTCCTCTACTTCCTGCTGGCTCTGCCGGCCTCGGGATTTGGAACCGTAGTCTGTGTCATAGTAAAGTTTTTTCCTCTGACCCCACGACAAACTGGGATCCACCGATGCCTCAGCCTCACTCTGTACGGAGCTCCCACCATCATCATCACCATCATCATCCTCGTCCCCGGAACTCTCACCATCTTCGTCGTTTTCATCAATGTCTAGGGCTAGCACCTCCTCCTCGCCATCCTCCTCCCCACTCTCCATTTCGTTCCAGCCCCTAGCCAAGGATGCCCGAAACTGCGCTTCATGGAATTCATCTACCTGATCTTGGTAGTAGCTGGAGTTCCCTGGAGAGGGTGGCGATCCTAAATCGTCCTCATTTTCGTCCGTAGCGATGCGACCAGCCTTGGTTCGCACAGCAGCCCACTGGGCCGCTCCACGCCGCCGGGATCTCTTCACCATGGCACACACGCCGTCTCAGGTTCCCCAGCGACGCTGCGATTTCTGCCACTTCTGACCTCCGTGCAGAAACAAGGCCAACAATTAGAGGTACCAGCACGCTGCCCACAGCACGAATCGGTAAATGCCTGATGCGCTTCGGGAATTACCGCTTCCTTCCGCTCCCAGGGTGCTGTGCGCGTACCAGAACTTCCGCTCATCAGGTTCTCCGAACTTGGCTGTGCCTGTCCTTTACTGCGAATTAATATCTTGTCCGGGTAGGAACTACAGGCGGAGGCAGTTCCGTTCCGGAGAACCCTTTCTTGTGACTTCCGTTTTCCTCAGGAGTCTGGGCGTGAGGCTCGGGAATCCTGTCAGCGCGGCGAGTACTGCTCTCGGCCGACAGAGGGCACTGCGCCCTCACGTCCGGACAGGTCCGGTAGGCGGCTTAGGGAGGCGTTCTGGAGGTTTCCACCTCGGTTTTTTTTTTTTCTTTCTTTCTTTCTTTCTTTCTTTCTTTCTTTCTTTCTTTCTCTCTCTCTCTCCTCTCTTTCTTTCTTCCTTTCTTTTCTTCTTAAACGGGATGAATAAATTCAAGAGCCAGTGAGCCTGGAAGGTCCTGGCTTCTCTGGGCAGCTTGTAGAGCACCCTGTTCTCTCTTTGATTACTTTGTCCCACCACTTGCTTGTTAGAATGCAGATGTGAGACTTTTTTTTTCTCTGTCCTCCACTGAAATACAATTAAAAGGTCAATGAAGGACCCTGAACAAACTGTGCCAGGATTGAGGGGTTGAGGGGGGGCCAGCCCGGGCTGATCTTGAACTTTTGGTCGTCCTGCCTCAGCCTCCTGAGTTGGGGGCTTACAGGCGTGCACGACCACGGGTGGGTTATTTTTTTTCTTTCTCTTTTGCCCCTGTGTTCTGGGCACCTTCTCTTCCTACCCTCTCCGAGGCGACGGCTAGAGCGCATGCGAGGCGGAAGCTGGGCTGGCCTCTGGCTGTCCGCCAACCCGGGAAGCACCAGCAGGACACCTGAGGGCTGCGGTGGGAGGCTGAGCCCGGATGGAGGAATCGAGTGGGAGGTTGGGGGTCGATGCTCTTGGAAAGGGAAAAAGGCACCACGATTCCCTGTGGCCAGAAAAACTTCACTTTTCAAGACATTTGGGAAATGAGCGGGCCATTTGTTAAAGAATAGACTCCTGACGCAGAGACTAGCATTGCAGTATTCAGTTATACGTTGTTCCAGCACAGAACACGCTGGGTTCAGAGAGAGCGATGGTGACAAGAGTAGGTGATTTTCCTGCGGCTTGGAGATCTTGTCTAGCAAACACCCGCGTGCATAAAGCAAAACGTGTTAAATTATGGATGGAATTAAGTGCTATGACTACACAAGCACACACACACTTCCTATGTTAGCCAGCGCTGGAAACGCAACATGGCAGAGTATGGAGCCTCTAGTGGGAGAGGAAGTCTTGTCTATCTGACGAGTTTGTATTCATGCTCAGATGCCGAGGAGCTCAGAAGGTGGGCGACTGTGACCAGTGATAGTCATGCATATAGAGATTAGAAATGCATGTGAAAACGTCTCAATGTCAATTGCTTTGGAATGAATTCTTCTGTATGAAAAAAAAAAAAGTTGTGCTGTAAAGCATTCCTCGAGAAATGTTTATAATTCTATGAGAATGTAAATAGTTTCACAGTAATTGTTTTCCAGTTAGAATATTCTAACTTAATTGCAGCGCAGTCTCTTTAATTTCTTGTTCATTAATTTTTAACTAACTTCATAAAAGAATAAGAATAAAAAAATATGATTTATTTTAGAAAAAGTTACCTGGACTGCTGAAAAGAATGTATATTCCACAGCTGTTGGATGAAATATGCTATAAACATTTATTAAATCTACTTATTCTATGTTGTAATTAAAAAAAAAAGTTAAAACCTCATTCAATTTTATGTCTTATAAGGGTTATACTGAGTTCAATATTGTATAACTGTATTAATTTAACTGTGAACCTCAAAATTTACAGCTAATTTTGAAAGAGAAGCATCTTTGCTCTGGAAATTGTTATTGAATATGTTAATGCTGTAATGAAATGCTTCTAATCATGTGGTTATTAAATAATTAAAAAATTCCATTTATTTATTATTTATTTATTTATTTATTTATTTATTTATTCTCTCCGTGTGAATATGTAAGGTGGGCATTCTCGTGCCTCCGAGTATGGAGGTTGGGAGTCGATTCTTCCACCATGTAGGTCATAAGATAGAGCTCAGGTTGTCAGGCTTGGCAGAAAGCACCTTTACCCACCTTTAGCGGTTGAGCGATCTAGCAGGCCCTACATCTGCCTTTTTGGGGGCGGGAGTGGGCTGCCAGCTCCCTTTGTCTTAAAAGAACAACAGCAACAAACCCGACCCATCTCTAACCAAGCCAAATACAAACGATTAAAAAAAAGATTTTAGGGGTGATGTGGCTACACCCCGTTTATTGGTTGCCAGGGTAATTCTGCTGATGTCTGGCTGGCTAGGAGGGTGTGTCCTTCCTGCTTCACTACTCATGTGCATCTACATCTGTCTCAAAGCTTCAAGCTGGGTTGAAGAGGGCATCCTTCTGGAAAAGAAGGATCACTTGTTCTTGCATCAAGCATAGATGGATAGTTTCTCTCCCTTGGTAGATCCTCCACAAAAGGATTTAGTATTCCTGCTCAAATCTGGGAGATTTGTGCTGTCTTTAAGACCGCCTAAGCTACTCTTCGTCGCCCCGCCCCCCCGCCCCCCCCCGTTGTTTTTTTCCTCAGTTTGGTGCAGTGTAGCTGTCCAGTATTTGTTTAATAAATAAACATGAAAGTTACAGTATTTGCTTATCTATCTTAGTAGCTATATAGAATGGAGTGAATGATGTGTAAAACTGCAAATACTGCAGAGTGGTAACCAGATAGAATGGATTCCAGCAGCAGTTAGTTTCAAGTTTAATTTTTACATGTGGAAACAAGAGATGTGAGGGCAATTACACCAGCGGATCTGGACTAGAAACCAGGAACATGAGCTCCCACACCACGATTACACATTTAGTTGTTACCAGTCTTTATTTTTAGGTTAAGACAATATACGCATTACAGTTGATTTCTTGTGAGCTAGCTGAGGTTCGTATTGAATGTCAATCCTTGTGAGTATTCTACAAAATTCATAGTATCATAATGGTCTTAAAATTTGTAATTAAAATGTTTTTCTTATAAAAATAGAAAAATAATACATATTACAGAAAAATATTTTGAACTACAATTTTTTAAGTGCCTAAGGGTGTCTGAAGCATTTAAAAATCTTTATACAGTTTCGGGAAATACATTTTAATGAATAAAGTATGGCTAGAATCTGTGTGCAGACAGCATGAAATTCACTTTTGAATTTGTTTTCTTTTTGTTTTCCTTTTTTTTTTTTTTTTTTTTTTTTTTAAAGTTAAGGAGTATGGGGACTAGGGAGGTAGCTTAGTGACTAAAAACACTGACACAGGTTCAGTTCTCAGCACCCACTGGCTGCTAACAACCATCAGCAACTCCAGTTCCAGGAGATCGGATGCCATCTTCTGGCCTCCATGGGCATTGCACACATAGGTGCACTTGTATACATGAGGGCAAAACATGAGCACTGACTGCTCTTGCCGAGGACCTGGGTTTGGTTCCTAGCTCCCACCTGGTGCCTACGAACCGTCCTTAACTCCAGTTCCAGGGGAATTCAAAGCCCTCTTCTGACCTCTGAGGCATTGTACAACACGGGTGCACTCACGTTCATGCAGGCAGTACACTTAGACACATAGGATGAAAATAATAATGAAATATTAAAAAAAAATATATGGAATCTGTAATCAAGCAGAAAGGACATGAGCACAAAGCATTTATCATTAGGTGTAAGATGCTCAAACTACAAGGCAATTTGTTTCTCACACCCAGTGCTGTGAGAGATTAGCAGTCTGAGGGTTCACTCACAGATTTTTATTTTGATAATAGTACATAAGAGTTGTTGCATTTAATTCTTATTTTTCTTTTATGTGTATGAGTTTTATACCTGCATGTATGTAAGTGCACCTGTGTCATGCAATGTCAGAGGAGGACAGAAGAGGGTGCCAGATCTCCTGGAAATGGAATTACAGACTGTTATTAGCTGCCACGTAGATACTGGAATTCGAACCTGGATCCTCTGCAAGAGAAGCCAGCGCTCTTAGCCACTGAGCCATTTCTCCAGCCCCGGGATCTTGCATTTAAACCTGAACTATAATTCTTCTGTATTAAAATCTCCTTTTATAAAATTTTGTTCATTGCTTTGTGTGTGTGTCTCCCCCCGCCCCCCGACTTCTTCTTCTCCTCATCTTCCTTAACAGTCTCACTATTAGCACTGGCTGGCCTGGAACTGACTAGGTAGACCAGGCTGACCTTAAACTCACAAAAACCCACCTGTGTGCCTCCTGAGTGCTGGGATTAAAGGCGTGTGCTACCACAGCCATTTTTTTAAAAGATTTATTTCTATGTGTATGTGTGTTTGTATGCCAGATGTGTGCTAGTGTCTGTAGAGGCCAGAGAGAGCACTGGATTCCCTGGATCCAGAGTTGCACTTGGCTGTAGGCTGCCATGTTGATGCTGCGAACTGAACCCAGATCCTCTGCAAGAGTAGCCGGTGCGCTTAACCATTGATCCATCTCTCCAGCCCAAGTAAGTTATTTATTCAATTCCAGTAACGCCATTATACCTTTCTTAACCCTAATAGAATTATTCCTTAATTAAGGAATTTGTTTGTGAAAATTTATATTTCTGCCAGATGTAATTCTAGCACTCAGGAAGCTGAGGCTTGAGGTTTTTTATTTTTTATTTTTTGGTCTCTTTTGAGACAGGGTCTCCCTGTAGCCCCAGCTGGCCTGGTACTTGCTATGTAGACCAGGCTGGTCTCGAACTCACAGAAATCTGCCCGCCTCTGCTTCCCAAATGCTGAGATCAAAGGTGTGCACCACCATGCCTGGCTATGAGGTTTTTTACTCTTAAGGCCATTTTATGCCATATGATGAGTTCCAGGCCACTCTGGCCTACAGAGCCCCTGTCTCAAAAACAAAAAATGTACTTCTGAAAACAGTTTAACCTAATCTAAGTGATACTAGGGAACACAAGCCTATGCTAGTTAAAAAGAAAGACATGTACCCAGAGAAAATAATCAGATACTGAATAATTTTGACTTTTTAAAAAATGGATTTTCAAAAACCGCTTAATTTTGGTTGGGACCCACAGTATGTGGGTCCTGGGGATCAAACTCAGGTCATCAGGATTGGTGACAGGCACCTTACCCACTGAGCCATCTTTCAGGCCAAGCATTTGACTTTTAACTATTGTATTTGTGGCAGCAGCAATTTGTCATTGACTTCAATCTTTATTA